GATGAGCCCGCGTGTCCTCCAGGCCTGGCCTAGCCTACGGACGACCAACAGACAGCCTGACAGACAGCGTGACTGCCACCTTGTGAACGCTCCCCAGCCAGGACCTCCTGCCAAGCTGCTCCTCCATCCACTCCCGCCCGAAAGAAAGGGCGCGAGATAGTCCAGGTTGGCTGTTACTAGGGAAACTTCCTACCTAGCGGTACCACTAAGACCCTCAGTTTCCTTTGGGGAACGACCCTGCTTCCCCGTGTGTGGCTTTGGTGGAACTGTCTCTCCTGGAGCTCCGTCCCCTCTGGGCCAAGGAATGGGGCCCTGACCCTGGGGAGGGCAACCGGACCCTCTTCCTGGAAACTGTGCAGCAGAGATTCTGGTCCAGGAGTGGGGGGTAAGGCTAATTCTAGAAACTACTCGATACCACACAAACACATACATATGTATACACAAATAACACACACGTTTGCATACACGCATGCATCATACACATGTGCACACAATGCATTGGACACATGCATGTATGCACGCACAGATATGCACAATGTGTGCACAAATATGTACACGTTTCTATTATACACACATGTACATAAATACATGCATTTTCTTTTTTTTTGCCAGAGTCGACTATTTTTGGCAGCCAAATAAACTGGATTGGGACAACCACCTCCCTCTCACCATCTTCACACCCATCACTGAAGGCCCCCCAAGTGCCTAGAAGACACATCATTCCGCAAGCGCTCAACCACTGTGTTGAATAACTAAGAGCCTAGAAATATGAATGATGTCAGGGCTATTTATTGTGATTTAAATTTGTGTTTTTGTTTGCACCCTGGGAGAAGAATTTAAAAACCTGAGAATATAAAGAATTCTTGCTTCTCTGCATTTTTCCCTCCCTCCCTTACCTTCCCAGAGGCCAGCTGCCAGCTCACCGCCAGCACCACCAGGATCTTCTGTTGCCAGACCAGGGGCTGAAGGTGTCTGCAGACAGCCTGTGTGCCTTGGCCCGGTAGCCTGGGTGCTTTGAGGTGGGAACTGGGGGGAGAAGAAGCATAAGCCATGGAAAAGGGAGCCGGCATTGCTGTGATGGAGATGTATCTTCATTGTCAGCGTCCTGGAGGTGACAGGTCCTTCCTGGGAGCCATGGCTCTGTGGCCCCTCTCAGGAGGCAGGATCATAGCCTTGGGCCCTCCCTGAAGAAATCCTTGAGCCAGCTTGGTGCAGAACCAAACGGACCTTCCCATCTACAGGGAAATTTTGGGCTTTTGTGGGCTGTGACCCATAGTGAGTCAGCAGTGACCAGTGTTGACTGACACCAGGGACAGGGAATCCTATATACCCCGGGGTACCGCTCTGTGTGATATCCCAGGACCTGGCGCTGCGACAGAGGGAACCCCACTGAAGACTGAAATTGAGTTTCCCACCAGTCCAGCATGGCAGGGGCACAAAATCAGACCGATAGTCATTTGCTTTAGGAAACATGCCATTTCTCTCACACCCAGGTTTGTGGAATAAGGTTCAAAGCTCATGGTGGCAGGAATTTTTCTTTTTGGTCTGTTTCGTTTACTATTGTCTCACAGAGCCTAGTACATTGCTTTAACACACAACAGGAATTCAAGAAATATTAATGTATAAAGGCACACGTAGAAAATAATTTTTGGGGTGCCCACGAAATGCTAAATATTCTATAGAAGCTTCCCTTAGATTCTTCTTTTCATAACCACCCTAGAAGCTTGGTGTTCTTGTCCACATCTTCCCTCCCTCCCTCCCTCCCTCCTTCCCTTCCCCTTCTTTCCTTCCCCCTTATTTCAGCTGTCTTAGTGCATTTACACATGTTCATATAAGCAATGTATTGTTTATAGGTATGTCTTTTTAGTGTGTATGAAGGTTAGTGTGTCGCAGCTCATCCCACCACGTCTTGCCGCCCACCTTCCCACGCAGGGGCAGCCCCAGCACCCAGGCACCTGTCAACACCCGGGGAGATCAAATAGATCTGTGATGGAACTTCTTTGGACTATTTACCCAGGAGTGGGATTGCTAGTCAGTGTGATGTCTGTGTGACTTCACCGAGAAAGGCCACAGTGGCCTGCACTACCTACCGGTGAAGCCGGAAGCTCCTTTATTTCCGTATCTGGGCCAACACTGGCATTCCTCGGCTTACTAGTATTTTCCCAGGCTAATTAGGTATGAAGTGATACCTCGTTGTTTTAAATCGCACTTCTTGTCCCCATTTTCGGGGAAGAATTGAAGCTTTAGAGAAATGACGTGCCCAGGGGCCCTCAGCTGGTTGCATGCCTGGCTGTGCTTTGCCCACAGGCTCTGGGCTCACCTGGGGCTCCGCTGCCCCTCACCTGGGCTTGACGCCTCTACCAGCAGGACAAGCGTGGGTGCAGTTCTTCTGCTGTGATCGAGCCCCACCTGGTGGCGCTGAGAGGGAACTGCAGTTGTGGAAGGGAGGGGGGAGGGGAGGAACCCCCAAACCACCTTCACTTTTGAGGCTCCTATTTTTAAAAAATAATTTTTCTAATTTTATTTTTATTGAAATATAGTTATCATATAAATTATTAGTTTCTGGTGTGCAAGATAAATTTTTTTTTTGTGATGAGAGTTTTCAAGATCAAATACACTCAAGCCCCAAATATACAGCACCCCATTATTAACCAAAGTCCTCATGACGGATACACCCCCAGGACTTATTTTTCTTATAACTGGAAGTTTATACCCCCCTGGTCAGCTTCATCTCGCTAGTGGAGGGAACCTGAACTGCTTCACTTTTGAGGCTATTACTGTTTTTAGCAAACAAAACCAGAACTCAGTTAGTACACTTTTAAAAATGTACTTTTAATTAAAGTATGTACGCCTAAAAGGCATAAATCCCAAGTGTACAGAGAATGAACTTCACAAGTGAACACCTGTGTAGGCAACACTGCAGGTGCCCCTCCAGCCATGACACACCATCCTCTGGGGGCTGCCACTCTCCTGGCTTCTAACTCGGTAGATTCGTCTCGCCTCAGGGACGGTTGTATACATGAACCATGCAGTTGTTCTTTTTTGTATCGTGCTCCTTCTGCATGATGTCGTGTGCTTCGTTCATCCATATTTGTTCATTCTCGTTTGGATGCAGTATTCCATTGTATGACTATACCGTGAGCTATCCTGTCTACCGCCCATGCACGTTTGGGTGGATCCCAGCATTTGGCTATATTGAATGATGAACATTCTGGGACAGTCTTTTGGTGCACCTATTTGTACAATCCTGTGAAGTATGTATCTAGGAATGGAAACACTGGACCGCAGCTTGGGTGTAAATGCAACTTTTGCAGATAACCGCCAGTTTTCCAAAGTGGTCATGCCAATCTCCCATCGCAATCATGTGTTGAGTGTTCTCCTTGCTCTACATTTTCAACTATAGTTTGATATCATCACTCTTTTTATTTTTATTTTTTAAAGATTTTATTTATTTGAGAAAGAGACAGAGATAGTGAGAGAGAGCACATGAGCAGGGAAGAGAGGGAGAAGCAGACTCCCCAGTGAGCAGGGAGCCGCATGTGGGACTCGATCCCAGAACTCTGGGATCACGATCTGAGCCGAAGGCAGAGGCTTACCCGACTGAGCCACCCAGGCTCCCTTGTCACTCTTTTTAGCCGTTCTGGTAAGTGTTAGTGGTGCTGCCTTCTTTTTTTCATTTGTATTCCTGATAACTAACAAAATTTCTTATTTTTGTTGGTCACTTGGCTAAACACATGCAAGGTGCCTATGCAAGGCTTTGGCGCATTTTTTTGATTGAGTTACCTGCCTTTTTCATACTGATTTATAGGAGTTGAAAACAGGTCATCTGTGTATGAGCCCTTTGATCTATCTTCTCCCACTGGGGTCACTTGAATTCTCACTCTCTTACTGATGTGTTTTGATGAACAGATGTCCTACTTGCATTATGATAGAATTTATTAATATTTTCTTTTATTACTGAGGCTTTTTGTGTTGTTTAAAATTTTTTGGCCTACCCCAAGGTCATGGAGATTGTCTTCTATGTTTCTTCTAGAAGCTTTCACAATCTGCATCCATCTGGAACTGATTTTTGCATACAGCGGGAGGCGGAGGGTCGATATTTTTTTCCATATGGACATTTAATTGACCAGCCTGATTTATTGAAAAGATTGTCTTTTCCCCCACTGCACCACAGTGTCACCTTTGCCATAAACCAGGGGATTGCACCTGTGTGAATCTGTTCCTGGTGTATGTGTCTGTTTCTACTAGAAGATGTAATCACGAGACCATTTCAGAGTTTATAAAATACTAGTGTATAATGTGCTGCAGGTGGTGCTGTCTGCCAAGGGACACTGGCTTGGGGTTGCTTTTCATTTGCATTCCTGATAACCTAATGATAAGTGTTCCTTTCTCAACGCTAGCTGTGAATCTTGGGGCTCACTGTAGGCTTATTTGGTCAGAATGTCAAGAAGCTGAGTTGGAGGCTCCTTGTGCCTATGGAGTCCACACAGAAAAGCCCTCTGGACCCCAGGAGAGCACCCAGGGGGCCCTAGGGTCTGGGGTGGGGTAAGGTCTCTCCTCTGCATTCCTCTCCCCTCTCTTTTCTGATCTCTACTAAACCCCAGGGGAAGCCTGCGACCCCACTCTGCAGGAGCACCTCGGGTCTGAGAGCTGAGACTCCCGTGGCAGACCCCCACCCCTTAAGGGTCTGAAAGCACCAAGCAGCCCCTTGAAGGTGTGGCATTCAGGTCCCCCCAGTCCCACATGGGCAGGGGTGAGGTGGTGTGTAAGACCTGTGGTGTGTGTGTCCCCAACCAGCCCCTCAGCCCTTTGCCCCTCCTGATGTCCCTCTGGGGACCCTGGGTCTCCATTGCTCACTTCTAAGACTTCTTTTCCAAGAAGGCCTTTCTACAGTCTTCTTTTGGTGGGGAGAAGACCCACAGTTTCCCCTACATTGGTTCTGACTCGGGTCAAGGACAAACGCTACATTTGCATGATGATCTATGCACTTTAGCCTTGTTTTCTGATGGCTACCGTCTAAAAGGGACGCCCCAGGTCTGAAGGCCTAGGCGGGGCATACCAGAGGATGCTGTCTGGGGGCCGAGGGTCCAACAGCAGAGAGATCCTGTGGTGACCTAGAGGGCCACGCTGGGGTTTTGGGCGAACACCTTTTTAGCATCTATCTCTCCTTCGACCATGTGGGGGTGGATGTCCACGTTCATGCCTGCGTCCTTGCATAGCTTGAGCAAGGTCCGAATGTTGTTCTTGGACAACCTCAGGTATCTGTGCGAGACAAGGCCAGAGAGGTCAGTTAAGCGTGGAGTCACCGTTGCTTCGAACTTTATTGAAAAGAGCTTAGATTTAAGCACTGTGGGATCTCTCACGAGAACTGGCTCTGCGGACACTTCTGGAGCTGACAGAGATCCTATAAAAGAGTGGGACACCCCACGGAGTTGGTGGGAGTTTTTATTGGTATAACTCTTTTGGAAATTAATTTGGCAACATATGTGCCAGGCACCAGCCCTATCCCCACAAGTTCCCTCCCCCCAAAACTTCCTTCATTATCTTTGACTCAGGAACTCCACTCAGGCCTTCAACTGATCCTGAGAAGAGAAGTCAATGGAATGAAAAGCTATATAAATCAAAGTGTTCACTTCGGGGTTATCAATAGCAGGTAAAGAGGAGATTCCATCAACCGAGGAGTGGTTAAGCAAATAATGGAATATCCATCTCAAGGATGCTCCTGCCTGCCTTGAAATGGCATTGGGCAGAAGCAGGTGCCCTAGGTGATGGTGATGCATGATGCCATGTGAGGAGAGAGGCAATCATCAGGGCTTCCATCACTAACAGGTGTGTGTAACCTCAGTGATGCCAAGGCCTGCACAAAATACAGAACAATGGCAATAAAAGCTGAGTAAAATTGTAGGAAAAGGGAGTATTTTCTTTTTTTTAAATTATGTTATGTTAGTCACCATACAGTACATCATTAGTTTTTGATGTAGTGTTCCACGATTCATTGTTTTCATATAACACCCAGTGCTCCATTCAGTACGTGCCCTCTTTAATACCCATCACCAGGCTAACCCACCCCCCCCCCCCCTCCCCCCTTTAGAACCCTCAGTTTGTTTCTCAGAGTCCATCGTCTCTCACGGTTTGTCTCCCCCTCTGATCTCCCCCCCTTCATTTTTCCTTTCCTGCTATCTTCTTCTTCTTCTTCTAATATATAATGTATTATTTGTTTCAGAGGTACAGGTCTGTGATTCAACAGTCTTACACGATTCACAGCGCTCACCATAGCACATACCCTCCCCAGTGCCTATCACCCAGCCACCCCATCCCTCCCACCTCCCCATCACTCCAGCAACCCTCAGTTTGTTTCCTGAGATTAAGAATTCCTTATATCAGTGAAATCATATGATACATACTTTCTCTGATTGACTTATTTCGCTCAGCATAATACCCTCCAGTTCCAACCATGTCATTGCAAATGGCAAGATTTCATTTCTTTTGATGGCTGCATAATATTCCATTGTGTATATACCACCTCTTCTTTATCCATTCATCTGTTGATGGACATCTTGGCTCTTTCCACAGTTTGGCTATTGTGGACATTGCTGCTATAAACATCAGGATGCACGTACCCCTACGGATTCCTATATTTGTATCTTTGGGGTAAATACCTAGTAGTGCAATTGCTGGATCGCATGGTAGCTCTATTTTCAACTTTTTGAGGAACCTCCATAGTGTTTTCAAGAGGGGTTGCACCAGCTTGCATTCCCACCAACAGTGTAGGAGGGTTCCCCTTTCTCCACATCCCCGCCAACATCTGTCATTTCCTGACTTGTTCATTTTAGCCATTCTGACTGGTGTGAGGTGGTATCTCACTGAGGTTTTGATTTGGATTTCCCTGATTCTGAGCGATGTTGAGCACTTTTTCATGTGTCTGTTGGCCGTTTGGATGTCTTCTTTGGAAAAATGTCTGTTCATGTCTTCTGCCCATTTCTTGATTGGATCATTTGTTCTTTGGGCGTTGAGTTTGATAAGTTCTTTATAGATTTTGGATACTAGCCCTTTATCTGATATGTCATTTGCCAATATCTTCTCCCATTCTGTCAGTTGTCTTTTGGTTTAGTTGATTGTTTCTTCTGCTGTGCAAAAGCTTCTTATCTTAGTGAAGTCCCAATAGTTCATTTTTGCCCTGGCTTCCCTTGCTTTTGGCGATGTTTCTAGGAAGAAGTTGCTGCGGTGGAGGTCGAAGAGGTTGCTGCCTGTGTTCTCCTTTAGGATTTTGATGGACTCCTGTCTCACGTTTAGGTCTTTCACCATTTTGAGTCTATTTTTGTGTGTGGTGTAAGGAAATGGTCCAGTTTCATTCTTCTGCATGTGGCTGTCCAATTTTCCCAACACCATTTTGTTGAAGAGACTGTCTTTTTTCCATAGGACATTCTTTCCTGCTTTGTTGAAGATTAGTTGACCATAGAGTTGAGGGCCCATTTCTGGGCTCTCTATTCTGTTCCATTGATCTATGTGTCTGTTTCTGTGTCAGTACCATACTGTCTTGATGATGACAGCTTTGTAAAAGAGCTGGAAGTCTGGAATTGTGATGCCACCAGGTTTGCTTTTCTTTTTCAACATTCCTCTGGCTATTCGGGGTGGGAGTATTTTCTTTTAATACTATTCAAACAATTAAAAAATTAGGCCAGTGATTTAAAATCTTAGCTAAAGCCCCACAATTCTGACTTACACTGGAGAGGAACCGATCCCAACGACACTGTGTGGTCTAAAGCGTATCTCTGCCGGCATATCCTCCGAGCTCCTTATTCAACCAGCGGCTTTGACCTTGTTCCCAGCTTTAGTGTAAGGAGGTTGGTCCCCTACTCAGGTCACCTGCTGGTTGGTTACTTTGCTACAGATGATGGGGGAGGAGATGCATATTGAAATAACCTGGGTTTTCTACCCACTGGGAATGGTCTCCTTGTCCTTCAATATCTGCCCGGTGCTTACCTGTTTTTACAGCCATCTGACACCCCACTCCCCAGCCCCATGTCTGGACCACCTTTCTCTGACAGCGCCAGGCAGGGTCTGCTCCTTCCGCTTCTGCCCAACCCAGCCCTGGAAGGTCTCACACACTTGTACATGTCAGCACTTACGAAGATCCCATGGACAATTTCATCTTTTCCTTGGATGTTTTTCTAGTGGCTCGTTGGATGCCATCTTCCCAAATATTCGTTCTCCCTCCTTGGAGGGTGGGGGCCCTGTCCAAATCTCTTTTCTGCCCACCATAAAGCCCAGGTAGGCTGTCTGTTGGCCAGAGTAAACGAGCATCACCCTGTCAAACTGAAAGCCATCGCCAAAGTCATCCATCCACGGAAAGGTCGAGCAAGAAGCCTCCTTTGGCTGGGGAGGCTACCATTCCACCCATCCATCTCTCAGTGAGCAGAGCAGGACTTTGTAATGGGATCACTTGATGCCAGGCATCTGAGGCCATCTGAAACCTACAGAGGAGCTCCCTGCTGTTCCATCTAGAAGGACAACCACATTATTCTGTTGTCTGTTTCCTCCTCTATTGAAGTTTCTGAGCCTTATCAGCCACGTCTTTACAAAAAAGCTAGCACCGGGCTTGGGAGGGGTACTTGAATTTGGGGATGGAAACCAGCAGGTCCAGATGAATAAGACAAAGAACACGGGAGAAGGAAGACCTCTGGTAAGAGCAGTAAATACCAAACGGCTTCACACTCTGTTCCTAGTGCATCCCACACGTAGAGCAGATGGCCACCGGGGATGGTGGGGAGGACCACCAACTCCACACCAGGAGTGAAGGCTCTTAGGGGGATTTCCTGTTAAATATAGGCCACAGACAATGCATTCTTTCTTTTTGGATAATATTCATGGTTTCTATTGTGAAACATATGGAAATATTGGAAGGGTGGTGTCAGTGTCCAAAGGCGTGGCATCAAAGCGGCAGCACCCAAGTGTCGTGCCCAACCCAGAGCTCGTCCACTAGTGAGGTTGCGGGGGAACCCAGTGGCTTCTGCCCTGGAACGGCTCTTCAGGACACAAAGACAGAGCCCAGTCCTGCCAGCGCCGCCCGCCCTCCCCTTGCCCATTCTCAGCCCAGGTGTCTGCAGCCCACGTTGGTGACCAAAGCCTGTCCCCCCCCGCCCCCCGCCCGGGCACCACGCCCCGCCCGCCAGGGCCGCTCACCGGCAGCTCAGCACCTCCTCCGGCTTCAGCATCCTCACCAGCTCCACTTTGGGCTCAGTGCTCTTCTCCATGAGACTCTTCAGCTTGCGCTCATAGGAGATCTCGGTCGTCCTGTTTATAACCCAGTCTCTCAGGAGGGTCGACTTCCGACCGCCGAAGACGGGCGTTTCCTGCAACGCGGGGTCCAGAACGCTCTGGCGGCGGTAGGGCTGGGGCCGCTGAGTCGACTCCAGCGCGATTGCGTCCTTGATGTCGAGGTCTGAAATTGGGCAGTCACCAGGGAGTTCGAGCTGGTGGAGGGGAGAGACAGGACCGGCAGGAAGCGGGGGAGGCCTGCAAGACGGCCTGGGCTTCAAACAAATACCTGTTCTAAGGAGCTCTCTTCCACGCTCTTCGAGCTCTTCTCCGCATCGGTTTAATTCTCGCTTTTACCTCCCTCCTTTCTCGCTGCCTCCTCGGCTCCCTCCCTCCTGTCTTCGTCCCCTTCTCTCCATCTTCAGTCCCTCCTCACCTAAAGGGAACCTCTGCCTGGAGGAGGTAGGGGAAGCTAGGGGAAGCTATCAAAGATCAACTTTGAGATGTTCTTTTTTTTTTTCCCCCTTTGGTTGGTTCAGATGGGGTTTTTACAGGAAAAACAATTTATTGGATGAAAGGGGAGAAAAGTATTGCAGGCAGGAGAAACAGCATGTGCAGGTGCGAGGAACAGCATATACAGACATAGGAATAGCTTGTACAGGTGTGAGGAACAGCATGTACAGGCAGGAGGAACAGCATGTGCAGACAGGAGGAACAGCATGTACAGGCAGAAGGAACAGCCTGTGTGGGCGTGAGGAACAGCATGTACAGGCAGGAGGAACAGCATGTGCAGACAGAAGGAATAGCATGTGCAGCAGGAGGAACAGCATGTGCAGCAGGAGGAACAGCATGTGTAGGTGTGAGGAACAGCATGTACAGACAGGAAGAACAGCATGTGCAGCAGGAGGAATAGCATGTGTGGGTGTGAGGAACAGCATGTACAGACAGGAGGAAAAGCATGTGCCGCAGGAGGAACAGCACACTCAGGCAGGAAGAACAGCATGCTCAGGCAGGAGGAACAGCATGTGCAGCAGGAAGAACACCATGCGTGGGTGTGAGGAACAACATGTGCAGGCAAGAGGAACAGCATGTGTAGGCAGGAGGAATAGCATGTACAGGCAAGAGGAACAGCCTGTGCAGGCAAGAGGAACAGTATGTGAAGGCAGGAGGAACAGCATGTGCAGGCAAGAGGAACAGAATGCTCAGGCAGGAGGAACATCATATGCAGGCAGGAGGAACAGCATGTGCAGGCAGGAGGAACATCATATGCAGGCAGGAAGAACAGCATGTACAGGCAAGAGAAACAGCATGTGAAGGCAAGAGGAATAGCATGTGAAGGCAAGAGGAACAGCATGTGAAAGCAGGAGGAACAGCATGTGCAGCAGGAGGGACAGCATGCACAAAGACACAAATATATGAAATGAAATGGTGAGTGTCTGATGTTACCCAAATATGGAGTTTCTACTGAATTAAATACTGTGGGGGCTAGTGCTTGGAGGATTTAATTTTTTTTCTTCTTGCCAAGTTTACCACTAAGTATTTTATAGATTTTTACCAATGAGAATGGGATGTTTTCTTTCCATTTCCATTTCTGGGAATGGGACTAGTATAGAGAAAAGGCTATTGTATTACAATGTATTTTTTTTCTAGTTAGAATTTCTTGAGCTTTACAGATATGTAATCATGTCAGAGGAAAAGTGAAGATAACTTCCTTCTAACATTTAGAAAAATTATATACTCTTCCTGACATATTGCATTTGACAGACTTTCTAACACAATGTCAATAATGATGATAACAGTCATGCTTAATTTTGTTCCTGATTTTAATTAAAATAATGAGCATTTCATCATTTCGAATGATACTTGCCACTATTTTTGGTATGTTTATAATATTAGGAGCTTAATTCTTAGTTTCCATCAAGTTTTTATTAGTAATAATTGCTTGATTCTACTTTTTGCTTTTCTGTCATTTACTGACATGCTCGTATGGTTTTTCCTTTACTTTATTGATGGAATAAATTATGTTCTTAGATATTCTGATAGTGATAACCTAACCATTCCTAACCTGCTATAAGAAATCCTATTTGTCACTAAATCCTACCCCTGAAAGTAATACTACACTATATGTGAACTAACTTGAATTTAAATAAAATCTTTTTTAAAAAGATTATTTATTTATTTATTTGACAGAGAGAGAGAGACAAGCGAGAGAGGGAACACAAGCAGGGGGAGTGGGAGAGGGAGAAGCAGGCTTCCCGCTGAGCAGGGATCCCGATGCGGGGCTCGATCCCAGGACCCTGGGACCATGACCTGAGCCGAAGGCAGATGCTTAACGACTGAGCCACCCAGGCACCCCTTAAATAAAATCTTGAAAGAAAAAAAATTTTTTTTAAATAAATAAACTTCATTCTCTCAAAAAAAAAAAAGGGAAAAAAGAAATCCCCATTTGGTCATGGCATGTTATTAATTTCATACATTGATATATTTGCTAAAAAATTTTAATATATTTTTTACATCTATACTACTTCTTTGCAAATATTTTAATATTGTGGTTCTGATGGCTTGTTGGATTAATGCAGAAGTGTCTGTATTTTATATGGTCTGGAATAGTTGAGGTGATATTGGGATTATTCATTCTTGAAAAGGTAGATAGAACCTGGTGTGAAGCCTTTTGTCCTGGTGACTTGTTCAGTGGGAAAGTGTCAACCAGCTTTCAACTTTTACTTTAGAAATTGCTCTCTTCAACTTTATTATGTCAATTTTAATAATTTATTGTATGAGAGGAAATGATATATTTCTTCTAGGTTTTCAAATATATCAGAGAGAGGTGCATCTAGTATCTATTATAGCTCAGTTAATGTATTTCTTATCTTTGCTCATGTATTCTTTCTCATACCAAATCTTGTACACTTATACTCTTCTTTTTTTTTTTTTTAACATTTTATTTATTTATTTATTTAGAGCACGAGCAGGGAGGGAGAGGGAAAGAGGGGGGAGAGGGAGAGAATCTCAGGCAGACTCTGCTGAGCGTGGAGCCTGATATGGGGTTTGATCTCACGATCCGGAGATCATGACCTGAGCTGAAGTCAAGAATCAAATGCAAACTGAGCCACCCAGGCACCTCTTTATTCTTCTTCTTAACAATGGTCATGAGGAGTTTATACTATTCATCACTTGCATTTTCAAAAAGCTAGCTTTGGATTTAGGACTTACCCTTTGAACTAGTTTTTATCTTGGGTTTCATTAATCCCAGCTGTTATTTAATGTATGCAAGCTCTCTCTTTCATATTAATTATTTCTCCTATCTTATTATAAATAGCACAATGCTAAATATATTCATTTTTTCTTTTTTTGTGTGTGTGTTATAAAGACAAGAATTATTAATTTTAGTTGTTACTATAAATTTTCTTCTTAGGATAGATTTTGCCTTTGTTCTCATAAGTAAGAAACAGACTTATTTTCATGAGTTTTTTTTTTCTCTGATATAGGGTATTTTAGGAGTATATTTCTTAATTTCTGCCTGTTAAGTTGGGAATATCTTTTAATTTAAATTTTATTTCCAATTATTGCTTTAAGATAATGTAGGTTGCCCTAAAATTTTTACTTTTTGAAAGTTAATGTTTTCTTAGTGGTGAAGAGGCAGATGGGTTTTGTAGATATTCTTTGGCCACATAAAAATGCATTCTCTATTCAAATATGAAGTTTTGTCTATTTGACTCTAAAAGAGGTATATTAAAATCTCCCACTTTAACTGTATTTTATTAGGTTCTTTTTGCAGTTCTCAATAATTATCTATTTAGGTACTGTATCTTTTGTTACGTGTAAGCTTATGATTATTATTTATTCTCTTTAACATTTAAAAGTATCCCTCTTTTACCCTACGCGTTTCTTTTAGCCTTAATTCCACCTCATCTGTTTGCATTTCATGTTATCTTTTGGTCTATCCTTTTGCTTTCAATCTTTATATTAAACCTGATTTTAAGTGTATCTAGATTCTGACTTTTAAACCAGTTATTTCCTAGGTGTGGCTCTGTTCTCACCCAGGGCATTTTTTTTTTCCCTTTGTAAGTAAATCGTTCTTCCTGTAAGCCTGAAAGATTTCATCAGCGAAGTTCAGGAATTTTACTGGGATATGTCTAGGGGGAATGACTCTAGATCCCCCACAGTTATATAAATGGAGGAACAGCTTCCTGGAAAGAGGCTGTGATTTGCCCAAGGTCTCATATAAATTAGGGGCTAAACTGGGACTCTGTATGCCCAGTTTGGTGCTCTGGACTGACAGCAGGTCCTTGGCCAGGGGGCCTTAGCCCTGGCCTTAGCAGCCCCTGTTTATGCCTAGTGGGAATTGGTGCTATGTTCCAGAAGAAACATGAGCTGCATATCCTCATCAGCACAAATGGGAAATCCCTTGTAGAAAGAACCATAGCCTTTTCTGAGATATCCGAGCACCCTCTGGGTCAAGGTAGGTCTCATGTAGGAAAAAAGAGTAGTCATATAATGGCAATGATAATTAAACATATGAACTAATGTTTAGTGAGTGACTTATGTGCCAGGCAGTGTTCAAGGATCTTTACAGGGAGGGAGGCGCTAGAGTCTCACAACCATATCGTGCCCATTTAACAAATGAGAAAGTTGAGGATCAGAGAGATTAAGTCATGTGCCAAAGATGCCAGGGCTAACTGGTGGTGGATCCAGGAAAATGTGAGCCTAGGTTGCTGGTCCCTTTTTCTGGGGGATGGTCCCTGGCTACCATCTGGGCACCCATCCTGGCTACCATCTGGGCAAAAATGTGTGTGTGACTGAAGAGGTAAGTTCAATTTCTAGAGGGCTGTGTTTGGGACTCACGGGGCTTACTCTGTACTCATGGAAACAGAGGGTGATCATTGCCCTCCAGACCTCCGCATTAGGGATGCACTCCTGCGCTGGCATCTACAGAATGCCCTGGGCATAGGTGCCCAGGGCGAGAGAGCCAAGTGAATGCCCCTTTTCTAGTCTAGCTGCTCAGACTTTGCCAAGATTTACTTTGGAAACGTGTTCCAGGGGCACCTGGGTGGCTCAGTTGTTAAGCGTCTGCCTTCGGCTCAGTTCATGATCCCAGGGTCCTGGGATCGAGCCCCGCGTCAGGCTCCCTGCTCAGCAGGAAGCCTGCTTCTCCCTCTCCCACTCCCCCTGATTGTGTTCCTGCTCTCGCTGGGTCTCTCTCTCTCTCTGTCAGATAAATAAATAAAAATAAATAAAATCTAAAAAAAAAAGAAAAGAAATGTGTTCCAATTGCTTTCCTAAGGTCTTTTGCTGGCCCAACGCTGAAGTGACCTTTTACAAATTCAAAACCAACTTGGTGGCCCTCGGACGGGGGGCAGGGGAGTGATGAAAGAGGAGGGGGAAACAGAAAAAGCTGTTCTCAGGGAATTCAAGGGAGGAGAGGCCGTGGGGAGAGGGAAGTGGTCCATGGTACACAGCATCTACGTGCAGCAGGCTGATGTCAGGGTGGTGGTCAGTGGCGGGATGGACGTGGCATTTCAGCTGGTAAGAGGAGTGAATGGGAGCTTTTGTGAACGTGAGGAGAGGGGACAGAGATGAAAAGTTCAGCTTTGAAAAGCACTGTGCTCCACATTGGGGATGTCATTGCTGTTTTCAATTAGCTTTGGGGTTCTGGAGCTGGAGACAGTTACCTGTGCCTCATGGGGGACATACCGTGTTTGACAGGTTTTGATCCTGTGACCATCACAACACTACAAATGTGGACGAGTGGGATTTGTTGTGTCTCTACAGACCAAGTGGTCACATCAGTGGTGTGTCTGATGGTCATTCCTCACAGACTCTTGCTTGCTGGATCACACAGAAACATAACGTCAGGAGTGCAAAGAGCTCACTCTGCTGCTAGGAAAACCAGGACACTGATGATTCAGGTACTGAGCGGGGCTGGGGAGGCCGGAATCAGAAGTCCTGGTCTAGAATACCCTTCCTTGATCCATGTGTATCTCTACTTGGACTCCTGCCACAGCCCTCAACTGGCCCCATGCCCTTCCTAGGGGCTGCTTTGTCTTGAACTTGACTCCAAAACCAGATCCTGCCCACTCATGTTAGGCCTCTGGCTGTCCTGCACAGGAAGCTCCCCTTGCTGTGCTCAGACTCAGCCCTGACCCAGTTCCTGGGTGCCACACTTGGATGTCCAGGTGGTTCCTGGGTGCCTCTGAGCACCTGCCGCAGTGGAGCACCTGCTGCCTCCCAGTGGCCATTTGTTGTATTACGTTAGGTAGGAAAAAAGGTCCCCTCTTTGTACAGGGTGGATTTTTGTCTTGGGGGTGGGGGGTGGGGGGCAGGGGGACTGCAGAGAACCGAAGAACTGCTAAGTCAGTCTGCCCTGCTGGCATTTTTGTGCAGTTTTATGAAAAGGATTATTTAATCAGCTGGTATGGAGTTTCTCTTAGGGAAGGAACTGCCTTTGTTTAGGAAAATATCTTGATAGACTCCTTTTGAGTGTGGACTAAGACAGCGAAACAAAGGAAAGTAAGTGATCCTTCCAGGTAACAAACCAATGGGAATTGTGGGGTGAGGACAGCAGAGGATGGAGGACAGGGGAGAGGACAGAGAGGGGAAGAGGTGATCATTGCCCTCCAGACCTCCAGGCCCAAGACTAGAGTGAGACCAGCCAAGTGCCCAGGGGGGGCAAAATTTAAGGAGGTGCTCACTCTCAGGCTCATGCAAGTGCAGAGTCAGTACTAGAGAGTGAGTGCCTCCCATGTTCTGGGTGCCTGGCTGGGCTCATTCTATCCAGTGCAGGGGTGAGCAAGACAGCTGGAGGGGACTCCCTGCAGGCAAATACATCCAAGGACCATCTCCTGGTGGCAGGGGACCAAGGATTTGGAAGAAAACCCCCCTTAAGGGGGTTTTGTAATCAACTTCTGTTTTGTTTTCTGCATAATTCTGTCAAATTCTTTCCCTCCGTTTCCCCAAACCTTCAGTAAAGTCTGTTTACACACAAAGGCTTCATGTGAGAGGTTTGGGGGAAAATGAAGGAAACAGAGCTGTGCTCTGTGTCTGTGTGCAGTGGCAAGGAAAAGGGAGAAGGGAGCAACTACTGGAATCGAGATCTGCAGATGCTCAGGGGCTCAGCAGAACTTGGACTTCGGAGCCAGAATTGCATCAGGAGTCACAGGAGACTTGGGGAAGGTGTAGGGCCTCCCATGGGGCATATGTCCATCTATCTAATATCTCTGTCTCTGTCTCTATCCCTGTCTGTACCCATATCCACATCCATATCTATATCTATAAACTTTTTATTTTGGAGTAAGTTTAGATTTGCAGAAGGGTTGCCAAGATGGTATCAAGAGCTCCCGGGCACTGCTCGCTCAGTTTCCCCGAATGTTAGCATCTTACACAAGCAGGGCACATTTGTCAAAACTCAGAAATTAACATTGGCACATAACAGTTGTTTTTTTTTTTTTTTTTTGGATTTTGCCAGTTTTCCCACTGAAGTGTTGTAGGGTTCAGTCCAGGATCCTGCATGGCATTTAGAGCCAATCATATTTAAATCTGACAGGCAAGTGAGCACAGTTTGGTTTCAGTGGCTTTGGTGTATTAAATGAGAAGGGGGAAAAGGACGTTTTGCTGGGCACAATGGGAGCAGTTTTGTGCAGGAGAACTGGCAGCCCCTGCTCGAAAGCTTTTGCCCACTCCTCCTTTGGACTAATTGGAATCCCTTCCGCCTTTCTTTGACCACACACCTCCTTTCTAAGAAGCCAGGCGCAATAAATGCAACTGTTTTTCCAACACCGTGGCACAGCCCACCTGAGCATTTTAGCAATTTTTTTTTTCTTAGAAATAGCTACTTGCCACCATTTATTGAGCACCTAGTCTGTATCAGGTTACATGCTTTATATGCCTTGTCTCACTGAAACTCGACCGGGAGGCAAGTCATGCTATTGTCCCATTTTATAGATGTGAAAACTGAACCTGAGAGATGGAGTGGCTGGCTCACCCCGGATTACACAATTCTGAGTTCACTACAGAGTGGTGGAGCCAAGGTTCGAACCTAGGGCCCAATCCTGGGAACCGGAGATCAGGCATAACTTAAGCCTACCTCTTCTCGTGTGTGAGCCACACCTGGCAGATTTCGGGCCAGCAGGTGTGGTACCTCGTGTGCTACACTGACGTTGTCACGGTACCTAATTAGACAATTTGGAGCTGGCGAGGTTGCTCTCACCAGCTTTAGGGGCTTTAGGAACGGGGGGGGGGCACATCCTGCTGCATCTTGAGAAGCCCCAGGTGTGGGCGGAGCCTAGACGTGCACCTGCGGGCCATCTGGGTCACAGCCAGACATGCACAGCTGCCGGGGCTGAGGACAGCTTCCCATCCCTCTGAGGGGCGGCGATTATGGAGGACGGTCTGGAACCCCAGGACCAAGATGCTTCCCTTACCGGATTTCCTGGGCCCATCCTTGGTGTATTTGCTGGAAACGATGCTGAGGCGTTTTCCCTTTGGGTCCACGGCGTTCTTGGCGCTTTGCTTTGAGGGCTTGGAGGGGCGCGGGAGAGAAGTTAAACCACGAGGAACAGTTCTTGGCATGGCCTCCTCCGCCCCCAAAATGAGTTGATTTCAAGGGTTTGCTGAAAGGCAGGCAAAGGGGCCAAAGGAGAGGCCGCTCTGGGCCCTGGGGCGGGTGAGGTGAGCAACGATGGTGGCTGGTGGCTGCTCAGCCGCTCCTCACTTTTGGTCCCAGCTATGTCAGAGGGAGGCACCACCACAGGAGCCGCAGCCCTCAGGGGGCAGGGAGGCCCGGGGGTTCTCATCTCTCAGCCCTCATTCCTGAACGGTGGCGGTGGGGGGCAGTGAGAGGAGGAAGACAGGCACCTGGGAAGAAGGACCCTCCGCAGGAGTGCCAGGCTCCACCGGGCCGGCCAGCGTGTGGGGTGGGGGCTGGTGATTCCTTTGGGTGTTAGTATGGGGCAGGCGTGGATTTTAGAGCCTTAAATTTAAAAAATGTAGCCAGGCACTGCGCAGGAGCAGAGGGGGTGCCCCCCCTTAAGGCGGAGAGCCTGCCTTACCTGGTTGGCAAACGCCACCTGACGGTTCCCTCTCTGCTGTTTCAGGAGGTTTTGGTCTTTCTTTCCTTCCTTCCCATTTGTTTTAGGGGCCATTATCCCCTTGGGTTTCTACTTGAAACGACAGAGAGGATTGCCCTGTGACTGCCTGGTGGGCAGAAGCCACCTGCTACCCCACAGAGGGGCGGCGCCCTGGCGAGCGGGCTGCCCCTCCCCACCTCCAGATTTGGCCCCCACTCTGGCACTTCTGTCCCCCCCACAATTGTCCTTCTGCCTCCAGACACACCCTGGTGTAATGTCACACTGCTCCCAGAACAACCTTCTAAACGTCAGGTCTGACCGTCCCTCCCGACCTCAGAACCCACAACGAGCTCCCTATTACCGTCTACACAAGGGCCCCTCTCCCCAGCCTGGTAGGAATTCCTTCCGGCCCCCAAGTGGCCTGGGTAGCTGTGACTCCCCAACCAGGGCCTCCCTCTAGTCTGAAACCACAGGAAGGCTGCCCTTTCTCGGAGTCCAGCCAGGACACTCCCTCTGTCCCCAGAGCTCTCTCCTCTCCCAAGCTCTCCCCATCCTGTCTGTCATCACAGTTCATCCTGCTTTTCCCTTTCCTTGGGTGCTCCCCGTGGCATATGTGGACTTTCTTGTGCACCTGCCTGGCCCCAGGCAGGCAGGGAGGATGCATTCATTAGGGATCTCCAGGGTCCAGCGAGGAGGGGCCCACAGAGGGGCCCCCAGGCCACTTGACCAGGGGTGGGGGTGCTGCAACACCTCAAGGAAAGCTGAATCGACTGGGTCTCCACTTGCAGTGTGCTGCTTGTGGTTGTGGGGGCATGGCGGCTGGGATTGGTCTGCAGGCCAGATGCCTGGTAGGGATCCTGCTCGATTGCTTGCTGGCTGAGCAACCGGGGCTTGGTTTCTTCTTCTGAAGATGGAGGGAAGAGTAGGATCTATCTCCTAGGGTTATTTTGAGAAACTAATGAACCCCTGTGCAGATGCCAGGAGAAGGTAGAGGAGGCCACAGACAGCCCCCCTCCAACCGTCTACACCAAAGGGCGCCCCCCCCCCACCACCTGTGCTGTCTGAGACCTGCCATGGAATCACAGGAGCTTCTTTTAAAATCCAGCTACCTCTGGGAAGGATAATGATGCTTTAAGATTTCATTGTATTTTCTATTTTTTTAAAGATTTTTAAATTTTAATTTATTTGAGAGAGAGAGAGCTCAAGACCGCAAGAGCAGGGGGGAGGGAGAAGCGGACTCTCCGCTGACCAGGGAGCCCAATGCAGGGCTCCATCCCAGGGCCCTGGGATCATGACCTGAGCCCAAGGCAGAGGTGTAACTGACGGAGCCACCCAGGTGCCCCTTCATTGTATTTTCAATTTAAATTTGTTCCTTTCCTGAGTCCAAAATTATTTCCAGTAAAAGCCACATTAAAGGTAAAGCTGTGAAAACATTATTAGAATATGATCTTCATGAGAAGAGATGCATATTAATCATAGAAGTGAATCTAGATTTCTGTGATTGATATTGAGTTCTGAGCGACCCAGCAGTTGAAATGGGAGGCAGGCGGTAGCCTTTCCATAAATCATTAGCACCTGGATGTAAAATATGTTTATCAGATGTGTTTTGGTATGTTTGATGGAACTGGCACTCCAGATCTTTCTGAATATAAATGATAAGTAAGCATATACACAGATGGGAACTCTTTGGAAAGGCAGGGGGCCCCGCAGTGGTCAGAGCAGAGAAAGTGGAGGTGACTATGGAAAGTTGACCTGACAAAGCTCCTGAGCTTGAGAACAGGATAAATCTGACTGGGAGCCCTGGCTTGGCGCTTCATTAATTCTGTGAGCTCAAGGACATGACTTCTCTGCCCCTCACTCAGCTTCCTTATTACCTCCCGTGAGCTGGGGGCTAAGAATGATGCCCCCCCTGTAGGCCCTGCTGGGAGCTGTTGACAAGATAATTCATGTGTGATGCTGAGCACAGGGCCTGGCACATAGTAAATGCTTAATAAACATTAGCATTGTCATTAGTGATGCCATTTTTCACTCATTTTTCTTTGGGGGCTGGGGAATTCAAGATCAGGTGGTATCCTCTACAGAGACCACTTTCTAAGGACATGGCTTGATTTTCCCATAGATGATGGGCCTGGGGGATTTCTGGGAGAAACTGAGACAAAACTGGTTGCCATAGTTCCTGGAGAAAGAGGGAAGGGTGGTGCTATACACTAAATGTTTGTGTCCCCTCCCACCCCAATTCCTATGTTGAAATTCTAACTTGCAATGTGATGGTATTAGGAGGGGAGTTTTTGGGAGGTGATTAGATCATGAGGGTGGAGCCTTTGCGAATGGGATTCGTGACCTTATGAAAGAGACCATAGAGAGGTCTCCCCTCTCTTCCTTCCTGTGAGGACACAGCAAGAAGGTGGCCGTCTATGAAGAAGGAGGTGGGCCCTAATGAGACACCAAATCTGCCAGCACCTTGATCTTGGGCTTCCTAGCCTCTAAACTGGGAGAAATTAATTTCTGCTGTTCATAAGCCACCCAATCTATGGTGTTCTGTTACAGCAGCCCCAAAGGACTAAGACCTGTGGATGGGAACTAGTTGTGATACAGGGTAGAAAGGAGGAGGTATGTTAGTAGGGGTCCCAGTGGGATAGTAGCATTGGAGACTGAATGCCCTTTGACCCTGGAGCCATCGTCAGGAAGGAAGTGTCTGGGGACAGTGGGGAGGACCCATTCTGCCACCACCGAGATCTTAGAAGTTATTGCCCCTAAGTTCTTCTGGAACCTGATCAAGACAGCCTTAATGCTCCCCTCATCTTGATTAAACTCCTGATAGATTCCTTCCTGGCTCTAGGCCCATGACCTCTCTTTTCTTTTCTTTTTTTTTTTTTTTTAAAAGATCTTATTTATTTATTTGACAGAGAGAGACACAGCGAGAGAGGGAACACAAGCAGGGGGAGTGGGAGAGGGAGAAGCAGGCTTCCCCGGAGCAGGGAGCCCAACGCAGGGCTCGATCCCATGACCCCGGGATCATGACCTGAGCCGAAGGCAGACGCTTAACGACTGAGCCACCCAAGTGCCCCTCTTTTCTTTAAACAAAAAACCTGGCACTTGTAAATTCTTTTCCTGCCCCTTTGAGATGTAAATCTTCTCCTAGCCTCTTGCTAGTTTTATAATCCAGGAACCTTTTTTTTCTCAAGGACCAGGAAGCCATCCCTTTGAAATGTAATCATCAGGGGGCGTCTGGGTGGCTCCGTCGGTTAAGGGTTAAGCATCTGCCTTCCACTCAGGTCATGATCTTGGGGGTCCTGGGATCAAGCCTTCATGTCGTCGGGCTCTCTGCTCATGGGGGAGTCTGTTTCTCCCTCTCCCTCTGACCCTCCCTCTGCTCATGCTGTCTCTCAAATAAATAAATAAATAAATAAAACATTAAAAAAAAAAAAGAAGTGTAATCATCCAGAAAGGTAGCACCCCGTCCTCCCAGTCTCTGTGGGAAGGTAGGAGCCTAACTACTTGAGTGAAAATTGGCAAACACAGCCGGCCTAACTACCTGGACAACTTCCCCTCTTTCCCGGAGGATTTTTCTGCTAGTTCACTCCCTTGCTTTAAAACTCCTCCCACCTTCTGTTTTCTGGGAGTCAAGTTCAGTCTCTCCCCTGCTGGAGTAGTCTTGAGTTCAGCTGCCTTGCAGTTTTGCTGGAACAGCCCATACTTGGAGAGCACGTACTTGCTTTTGCTTCCCCTGCCTCCGCTCCAGCCACTCCAGCACCCGCGTGAGGTCGGACATCCGCCTCTCCTCGGCCGTCCTCCACGTGGACTTCCTCTCTGTGGGCATTGCATCCTTTAGGTGCTCTGATTCCTCTGTCATTTTGGAGTCCTGGTTGTGCGCTGGGTGGGAAGGTGGCGCACTTTGGCTTTGTTGATCCCTCTGTCTCTAGTAGCTGGCCTGGAGAACTTCAGTTGGCAGGGTGTGGCCTTTAGGAGGTGGACATAAAAGGCAGAGGTAGGCCAGGAGCTGGGATGTTGGCCTCCAAGGGTGGGAGGTCTGCAGGGTGATTGTGAGGTCACTGTCAGGCTGGCCTGTGGGGGCAGAGTGGGGCGCAACATCAGCTTCTGCACACGGCCACAGCCCCTCTGTAGGCACTGTCCCTTGTCTGGACCCCCCCATGGCCTCCCTTAGGGGCTCTCCATCTCCACTTCCATAGAGCTCTTAAACAAAGGTCACAGAGCTCCCTTTCTCAAAAAACTTTAGTGGCTCCCTGCAGCCAATAAAAAATCTAAATTCCTTAGTTTGGTATCCAGGCCTTCTACAATGTACTCTAATTAGAATAAAGCTTTTATAGCCTCAATAACTTTTATGTTCACTGACCAGATAGTTATCAGATACCTACTATGTACCAGGCATGGTCCTGGGGACATAATGCAAAATAACATAGCTGGACCTCCTAAAACAGATGGGCTAGTGGGAAAGACAAAGCAGCAGTCAAATTACTCTATGAATCCATAATGGCAAGTGAAAATGAGGGCTCTGAAGGAAAGAAATGTAATTCTGAAGTAGACAAAACAAAAGAACTAGATTTGGATGGGGGTGAGTGGGTCACCACTCAAGCTAGGAGCTAAAGGGTAAGTAGGTCTCAGTGGAGCTCTGGAACAGAGGGATGAGCATGTGCAAAGGCCCTGTGGCAGGATGAAAGCACAGCAGACTTGAGGACTAACAGAAGGGCAAAGTCTAGAGTACCGTAGTGAGAAATGATGCTGGTGAGGTGGGCAAAGACCAGACAAGACAGGACCTTAGAAGTCACAGGTTTGCTCAAATTGGGAAAGGGGAAAACAAAGGGATTTAAAAAGAGGGGAAGGAGTGGTATGATCAAGCTTCCTTTTTGTTTCAGTAAACTTTTATTGAAGGAAACTATCTATACAGAAATGTGCCAGAATCACCAGTGAAGACACCTGTGTAACCAGTGTCCTCAGAACTCCTCCTTATGGCTCCTGCTGGTCACGGTCGCCCTCCAAGAGTAAACACTATCTTAACTTCTAATCTCATAGGTTTGTTTTGTCTGTTAGAGTTTTATATAAATGGAATTATATACATGTAGTCTTTTGTATCTGGCTTCATTCATTTTACAAATATATTTGCAGGGTTTTAGCAATGAATTCTACCAGTCTTTGTGCATGTGGAAATGTCTATATTTTACCTTCATTTTTGGAGAAAGATTTGCTGGATAGTAGAATTCTTGGTTAACAATCCCCTCCCTCCCAGCATTCTGTATATAGCATTTCCCTGCCTTCTGCTCTCCATTGTTTTGAATGGGAAGTGAGCTGTTAATCATATTGTCACTCCCCTGTACATGTGAGTCATTTTTCTTTTGCTGAATTTTTCTGTCTATTGTCTTTTAAATGTTTACTATGGGGCACCTGGGTGGCTCATTTGGTTAAGACTCTGCCTCCAGCTCAGGTCATGATCCCAGGGTCCTGGGATCGAGTCCCACATCAGGCTGCCTGCTCAGTGGTGGGTCTGCTTCTCCCTCTCCTTCTGCCCTTCCGCTCTGCTCATGCCTCTCTCTCTCTCAAAATAAATAAATAATATCTTAAAAAATGTTTACTATGGTGTGTCTGGGTGTTGATCTCTTTGTATTAATTCTCCTTGAGGCTTGTTGAACTTTTGGGATATGTATTTAATGTTTTCTATCAGATTCTGGAAGATCTTGGCTATTGTTTTTCCCATTATTTTTTTGTGTTTGTTTCTCTTTCTATTTCTGGGACCCTCATTACACATCTGTTGACATGCTTAACGTTATCCCACTGGGCTCTAAAGTTGTCTTTTTTTTTAAGATGTATTTTTTAATTTACTTGAGAGAGAGTGTGAGTATGAGTCAGGGGAGGGGCAGGGGGAGAGAATCTTCAAGCAGACTCCCCACTGAGTGTGGACCCCCCCCCCCCGCAACTTGGGGCTTCATCTCACGACCCCGAGATCATGACCTGAGCTGAAACCAAGAGTAGGTCGCTCAACTGACTGAGCCACCCAGGCACCCCTGGGCTCTGAAGTTTTGTTCATTTTTCTTCAATCATTCCCCTGTTCTCAGATTGGATAATTTCTATCAACCTTTCTCCAAGTTTGCTAATTCTTTCCTCAGCCATATATAATTTTTTGTTGAATCTTTATGGTACAATTTTCATTTCAATTGTACTTTTCAACCCCAGAATTTCTCTTTTTTTAAAAAATAATTTTTGTCTCCTTATTTAGAATTTCTGTTGATTCATTGTTGTCATACTTTCATTTAACATTTTAAACATCATTTATTTTAGTTCTTTGGCCATATTTATAGTAGCTATTTGAGGTCTTTGCTAAATCCAACATCTGGGAATGCTCAGAGACAGTGTCTACTGACAGATGTTTTCCTGAGCACGTGCCAGATTTTCCTGTTTCTTTGCATATCTTGTAATTTGTTTGTTGAAAACTGGACATTAAAAAAATATTGTAGCAACTTTGGATTCTGATTCCTGCCAGGTTTATCATTGCTGCTTTTTTTTTCCCATGTGTTTATTTGTGTAATAACTTACCCAGGCTCTATGAATCAGACAATTCCAGTCTGGGAATCCTGTCTTCCTAATGATGTGAAACCACTGAAGTTTCCAATTAAATTTTTTGTATTTTTGTTTTTATATTAAGTCTGGCTTCCTAAGCATTGTTTCCGTGTCCGCATGTCTGAGTGGACTGAGACTGTGCTCAAATATGCAAATGAGTAAACTGTCTGTCCTCTGGAATCTGTGTGTGGGTAGGGGAGCTGTGTCAGTTATCCTATTGCAGCATAACAAATCATCCCAAAGCTTAGTGGCTTCAAACAAAAACATTTATTTTTGCACAGTTTCCATGGGTCAGAATTCTGGTCAGGGTGTTGGCCAGGTTGCAGTCATCTGAAGGCTTGACTGGGGCAGGGTCTACCTCCAAGTTCCTGATCTGGTTGTTGGCAGGACTGGGTTGCTTGCAGGTCATTGAACTGAGTTTATCCTTCACTGGTGTTGGCAGAAGGCCACCTTCAGTTTCTTGTGACCTACAACTCTTCATAGGGAAGCCCGCAACATGGCAGCTTGCTTCATCAGAGTAGCAAGGGAGAAGAACCAGAGAGAGAATGAGGGCAAGGCAGAAGTCATTCTTTTATAACCTAGCCTTGGAAGTGACACCCATCACCTCTGCCATGTTCAGTTTATTAGAAGTGGGCCACTATGTGCAGGCCTCACCCAAAGTGAGGCTCACATAAGGATCCTAGGAAATGAGGATCACTCGGAGACATTTTAGAAGCAGCTGATAGCAAGAGCACACTCAAAATTCAGGCCATTTTCATGTGTTTCCTATGGTTTACTTTCTGCTGGATTCCTTCTCATCTTTGCACCCATGCACAGCTTAGGGGTTGGCCAGGAGTGTGTGGCTGGATGGGGTCTTCTCTAATTTCCAGAGAGCATGCATGTAGCTTTAGCCAGGGATATATTTGCCCAACCACAACTGGCAACCTCAGTCTGCTGGAGCTGTTGGCCCTCCTGATTTTCTGCCTTGGAGATTTTCATTTAAACCTACGAGGCTGCCAAGTGTGGGTGCTGCTTACTGCCCCAGATCCAGAGCAGAGAAAATTCTCCACACTAGTGGAAGCTCTCTGCTGGGAGCTGGGAGGGGAGAATGGGAGCAGCTTTAGGGGAGAATGCCACAGATTCTCACTGTTATTGCCCAAATTTCTAGCTTTCAAGCACAAATACTGCTCCCATTGTGGTATGCCTCTGGTTGATATCCAGAGTGCTACATGGCTGTTTTGATCAATTTTGTCCAGCTTTATAATTGCTTTTAGGGAAGAGGATTTACTATCTTCCTTCTCAGCCATAGGCAGAGGTCCCCTGCCAATATACCCTTTATATATTTTGTAAGACCCTGCTATCATGACATAAAATCAAATATAACAGCCTATATGCATACATGTTTTTTAAAATTTACTGTAATCCCCCTAATATAAAGGAGAAATTTTTAAAAAATATACAGTCTCCCTTTGGGTCTATCTCAATATTTTAATTCTTGGTCACAACTAAAGTAGAAGGCAATCCTCCAAGTTTTCCAAATGCCTCTTAGGGAATGGAACAACCCCACTAAGAACCAGTGACATAATTAATTGTAATCAATCAAGGGTGGTTGGGATGGGTGGGAGAAATATAGAGTCACATGGTCTGTCTCCATGAAGCAGGGGCTGTGGGGGGTGTGTGGGAGGCAATGATAAATAGGCATCAATATCATTTTAAGAGACTGGAGGTCAGGACACCCAGGACACCCAAGACCCAGAGGATCATCTCATGGGACAGGAGAAAGTTCAAATCAGGGAATAGTTATGGATGTGTCTCTGGAGCCTAGCAGTGTGCTGGGCAGTGAGGGAGGGGGACACAGAAATCAAGTAGAATCAGTCCCTGCCTTCATGGAGCTTATTGTTTCCTTGGGGAGACACCTGCAAAGCCTAGCGGGCACAGTCTTATCTCCCAAGAGCCCTCCACGCTACCCCTTGTGGTTTGGGTGAGTAAACACCACTCCAGTGTGAGAGAAGGGATCAGGTTGGTGAAGGCCAATCAATACCCTGCATTCCCCAGGCTGGATGACTGAAGCAAGAGGGGCCCAATCGGCATAGAATTGGGAGCTTCTGCTGGGAATGTGAGGAAAAAGCCTCCCCTGTGAATGGTGGGGGCATTTGGATGTGAAGCCCAGAATGGCGGGGGTCATTTTGCTCTGATGAGGGAGGGAAGCTATGGCGAACATGAAAGCCATTCAAAGAGCAAGGCAGAGCCAAGGGACTCACCGACAAACTGAGCCAGTCAGTGTCTGAGCTTTTCAGACCTTTCATGAGCCTCAGTTGTGTTTTCTCTTACGTGCAATACAAACCTTTCGTGTGATAGAAATAGCTAATATAGGGGAGATGGTAAGGGTACAGGGGTGACATCACAACAATGTGCTGCCGGAGCACAAGGGAGGGCAC